AAATGTAGGTGCTTCCAAAAAGCGAAAACATGAATAAGGCATGATTGTGAAGCAAGGCTTATTTTTCTCTGGGACAATAGGATCTATAAAGGTTCATGATCAATTTTTTCTTTAAGTTGAATGTCAGATTGCAGCTCTATACATTCCATTTGAAAATTAGCAGGTAACGTATTTATGTTGACTGAAAATGGAGTCGCACATATACCAAAATAGTGCTTATTTCCCCAGAAATCTTGAAATCTGTTTTCAAATTCTTGTATCAAATCGAAAAGCAAGGCTGCATATTTTTCGCTGTCCACAGTGTTGATGTCCCTGCTAGCCAGGTGACTTACAGACCCACTAAACCAAGTGCCAATGAGGTTCAGTCAGGTGGAGATTCCTTCAGTTTTCTTTATTCAGCTGAGCAAAGCAACCAAGTGTCCGTGCCCTACTCGCAGGCAGGAAGCAACACACACACACACACACACACACACACACACACGTGTTCCTCCAACTGACTCATGCTTTTTTCCCTTTTTTTCACTTAATCTCACCCCCATTATTCCTGCACCCAATCCCCTTGCGGGGTCTGCATGTCCGCTGCATGCCTGGCCTCTGCAGGTGCTTATCTACGTCCAGTCCCCTCGCAGGGGGAGCATGATCACTGTGTGCCACACCTTGCATGGGGGGCCTTCTTTCACTCACTGCCTCTCTGTCTCACCTTATCAACATTCTTTTGTCTTCCGTTTTTCCTCTCCAAAGCAAGCAGTTTTACAAAAAGCAAATGGTGTTTGTTAAGCTAATCAAGCTCCTTCAACAGGCCTGTGTTTAGCCAACATGTCGAAATGTATAAAATTGTTTGCAATGGTAGGTTGAAAGATTATTGATAATAGCTGTGTTTCACTTGCCAAGTCACCATGAGCACATGTAATGTCTGATGGTGTACATTTGACTGTCTGCGCTTGGAAGATAACACATTGGAAGCTGCAGACTGCGATAAGCCACGCAGGTGTACAAAGAGTGAGAGCGTAGGTGCATTTATTTTACGTGACATTGCGACACAGCATTGTCATCTACAGAGTACACACTGGAGAACTGTGTGATCGAGTTACAAAAAAAAAATCTCATGTTTTAAGTAAGTTCACGATTTTGTGTTGGGCTGCATTCATAGCCTCTCTGGGCCACATGTGGCCCCCAGGCCGCGGGTTGGACACCCCTGTTGTATAGTAACATGAACTTTGAAGAATCAGATTGTGCAGAAGCATGTTTGCTTGTCAGTGCAAAATGCTGGATTATTCTCTGTTTATTATCGTAAGTACAGCGGGACTAGGCGTGTACTGCTAAAGGCTGAAAAAAGATATTTTAAAGTTATCTGACAATTATGTATCCTAAATTACCCTTTACTCTTTTAAGGCACTCATTATACTCACTAATGAGTGGCTAAAAGAAGGACTCTCAAGGAAGAGTTAACAAATATACCCTAAGGTATAACTAAAGGATTTAGTTATTTTAATTCCAGAAAAAAAGTGAAAGGGGCAATTGTTCTAAAGTATGATTGTTAGGTAGTGTGCATTTTTTCTTTCTGAAAAGTATTTTGTGAAGGTACCTTGCAGAAAGCTTTCTTGTACGTTTATCAAGTATTCTTATATTTTAACAAAGGAAGCCTGTTACCCAGTGGAAATGTTACAAAGTGAGAAACTCAACCACATTGATTTCAACAAGAAATTCATATATATTTTTCTCAGCACTGCTCTCCCTAAATGGTCGAATTGTAAAGGTATCCTGATTTCTTTTCCAAATCTGATTTCGCTTTCTTTTGCATTGGCACTGAGAAGACACAAGATTAAAACTGTTTTTTGTTTTTTTAGAAAACAAGTTCCATATTTTTTTTAACTTCTTAGAGCATCAACTATTTTGCTTTATGCCTTGTAGTACCACCTTGTTCCCCAGAGCCTTAACATTTTTTCTTTAGGAAACAAAAAAAGATGTCGGTCATTTAATTCCTGGTGTTCATATGGCTTTTCTCTTAATTTGATTCTTACATAGCCTATTATGAAGGGTCATTCTCTGCATGGAGGAAGAGTGAGGGGGAAGGCCACTGTCTTTGCATTCCCTGGGCCTTCGCATCACCACCCTCAGTTTGTAAGAAATTGCTATTTCCTGCATTTGGTACTTTGTGGTGAATCATTTGTGAATTTCTTCAGAAAATGTTTAGACTATTCAGCTCTGGCTTAGGTGGTAAAGCTTAATAACTACAGATAATTTTGTGATAGTTATATTGCCTGTTTTGTAATTGATTTAAATGCAGTTAGTATTTGAGAAATGAATTATTTGCATTATTATTAGAATGATATATAACTGCAGTTGCAATATTTAATCTGTATTCTTGTTCTTGTATTTCTTTTATGCCCAGGCAGCTCATAATACATTTTATTGGAAAGCAGTCTACAAACCACAAAATTATAAAATGGAAAAGTGATGCCATCTGGGCAGGAGTTTCTGGACAGATGACTGTTGGCTCCATTTATCTCCCAGACAGAAACATCTGCCTGTTGTTCACACCCTTCTCAGCTATTGTCTTTCCATGCTGGGAACTGAAATTATTGCAGCATTGTTTATGCTACCTCTTCTTCCTCATTTGCTCCCAGCTAATCACTCGTGAAGGAACTTTCCCTTACCAAATGAGCAATTGCAGTGCACAACAATTTCTTCACCCAGTTCTTAACTATCTTGTTGAAATGGAGAAAACGTTCGCATAACCAGATTTTAGAAGGGAAGGACTGTGAGTTCTGTCCTGTTCTGACCGGCCTGCTGCATCATGCAACTAAGATCTCACTGTTCTTTGTGTTCTTTTCACAGTACTGCCTCATTTTGATGGGTTCCTAATTGTACTTTTTTTCCTGTTCTTTGTGCTGGCTGCATTTGTCAATTTATGGGTGTTTTTCATAATTGTACTGATTTTGGTTGTTCTGCGGTTCCATTACGTATGAATACATAAACTGGCTTAAGAGAACTGAACCTTAAGAAGTGGCATGGTTTTTTAAAAATTATTAAGGTAAGTAAGGAGTAAGGCAGGAAGGATAGAATTTGGCCAGTTCACCTGCTTATATTTCTGAATGGTATATGAGAAACTCCTGGTATGGCCAGTCTTCCTGCAATTTAAAGGCCAGGGAATGATTGATCTTCAGGGTTAAAGTACAACCTGCTGCAGAACACATGCACAAAGAACTTGAACATGTGAAATGGTGGGTTATAGGGTCCTTGCACTAGCAACCCTGCAAGGACCCCCTCCCTCTGGGAGTCTGCCTTCATCCCACCATGGTCACTGGCTGCTGTGGCTCCTTATCCTTGTTCTTTTCATTGCAACCACTGGCTTCTTGCCAGGCAGCAAGCAAGGAGGCCATGGCAGCAGCTTTTTCTCCAAATCGCCCTCTTTGTTTTCTGGGCTGTTGCACCAAACAGGTTGCAAGGGCAAAAAGGAGGAGCAACATCAGGGAGCTCTTGGCTGTGGCACCTGCAGAGGTGCCCAACTGTGCCTACCCTTAACACCTACCCTGCGGATGAAATATTAACTCCTGCTCTGAGATTTAATAGCCAGGAACTAATTTTGATTAAACATGGTTATGGGCAGTGCTTTTTTTTTGTAAAAAAAAAAAAAGGTGCTGGAACTCACATAATGGTCGCCACCGGCAGTAAGCAGTCAGCACATGACCACACACGCCAATCCCAAGCAGAGCAGTGTCCCGAGCCGAGTAGCGCCCTCACAATCAGCACGGACACAAAAGCAGCCCACAGGCGATTCAAAATCACTCCATTGGAAAAATCCGTCAAAAAATGGTGTTGGAACGCCGTTCCAGTGTGTTCTATGACAAAAAAAGCCCTGGTTATGGAACTGCTGGGAGAGCTTGCCCACCAGTACACCAATGACACCCCTCTCTCAATCTCTCTCTTATTTCTATCTGAATCCAAAAAGCTCTTCTCAATCAGTGTCTGATGTCAGTAATCGATTAGATGAGGGCAACCCAATGGAAACTTAATCCAGGCAAGATCAAGGCCCCTCCAGTCAACTGAAAAGCAAATCAAAGAACAGAGACTCGCCTTGTGCTGGGTGGGGTTAAACTTCCCCCTAAGAATGTATCCAGGATTGTAGCTGGTATAAATTGTACTTGAGAGTAAACCCACTGTAATTACGATTTCACTCTCCCATATGACCTTGTCCAGGTTAGATTGACACCTAACCTCATTTCACTAGAGGTGCTGTCCATATCTTGCATTCCCTACTCTGAGCACACATGGAAAGACTTGTTGTGGGATACGCACCGTTTGCATGCCATTTTCCCACACCACGTATCTATTCCATAGCAGTATTACTGGGTTTGCTCACTTTATGACATTTGCCATTATGTGTCAAGAGAAGTTAGAAAGGAGATGGGTGCAGAGGAGTCCTTTAAGGTTGCCTTGTTTTTGCATGCACATTTTTAGCCCAATTGAATATGCACGGGTACAAAAGGAACAAAAAACGGGGGAGGGGGATCACAGTTCTGCCTGCCCTCCAAAAAATCATGGAGAAGGAAAAAGGATGCCCCTGCAACCCCCACAGTGTTAAGTCAGCCAGACTGGCGGCAACCAGTTTCTTGCAACCAAAAGAAAGCAGGTCGAGCTGGAATTTGTGATTGTTCTTCTGAGCCAGTGAGACCAGTACCCCCTGTCCTCACTCCCAGAGCAAGCAAGTGCAACCCCCTCCCATGCAGACTTTCCCATGAAAGCTTCGTGGGAAAGCTTAAAGGTAAGCTGATTTGCTTCTAAGTAGACATGCATTTCAGCTAGTTCTTAAGCAAGACAACATCGAAGACATGAAAAGACACCAGAAACTACTTTTTTCAGCAGAAGGGCATTTCAGACCAGGCATTTGCAAGTCAGAGGGAGAACTAGGGAGCGAGGCAGGAAAGCAACTGAAGGATCTCCTTGTTTTGCAGATTCTGAGTCCAGGTGGGGCATTTCTCTCCCCCACCCTGTTGGAAAGCCCAGGGCAGCACCAGGTGAGAGCACACCCAGAAGGGCATCCACCGTCTGAAGCACAAGAGGAAGAAAAGGAGGGATAAAACTCATCAAGAGAATTCTGGCACAGAGAGGAAGAAGATAAGAGAGACGGAAAACACGCGACACCATAGGCGAGTGACTCAGGCAGTAGAGGCAGTAGAGGAGTAGATTGCCTGTAGATACCTTGGAAGAGACCCTTCTCATGATCCTACCACCACTGGAGGCATTTGGAAAGAAGCTGAGAGATACCAGCATGGTAGGTTGCTCTGAGGGTTTGGACTCCCCTTCCGAGGGAAGCCAGGCTAACTCCATCTGTGTTGTGTTTCTGCTGGTGAGCGAATGTTTTTGTTCAGCTTCATTGTTTGCAGAAGTTGGTTTTAACTTGTGGGTACTGCTTCTTTTCTTTTTAACAGATATTTTAATTGATTTGCTTTGAATTTAAATTTTTATTTTGTTTTACTGTTGTTTGCAACTTAAAAGGCAGACCAATGCCCTCTCACTCCCAACACTAATACCGAAGATGTTGTCCCCATGCTGTTTTTGATGCAAATACTGGGGGGGAAATTACCTAGAAGCATGGCATAATGAAAAAAAAAAACCCAACATGAATTTGTGTGTAAGTGGTGGGTTCACCAGCAGTTCAACGGGGTTTTATTGACTGTAGGGTGACTAAGACTCCTTCCAGTTATCTGGCAAACAGAGTTGCCAGCTATCTATCTATCTATCTATCTATCTATCTATCTATCTATCTATCTATCTAAAGCTTTTGTATGCCCTCCCATTATACAAGATCTCAGGACGCCTTACAACATTTAAAAGAACAATTAAATCAATAATTTCAATAAATAATAGGACAGAACAAAACAATAAATCACAAAACAAGCAGAGCAACTGAACTTAAAAGCTGTTAAATTTTAAAATACTGTTTAAATAAAAAGTTTTTTGCATGGCATATGCATGTCTTTCTTATTTTTGCAACTGTCCAACTAGCCAGTGTATTCTGCTTGATAATATACAATGGATTAAAAACATGAATAGAAACATTAAAATTATCAAACTATTCCATCGCATAAAACAGTATTAACCAAAATAAAACCAGCAGCAGAATGAAGTAGTAAAAACAGTTCTTAAAATGCTTGAGAGAACGAAAGGGTCCTAGCCGGCACAGAAAAGACTGTTGCATAAATGCTAGTCAAGGCTTTCAGGGGAAAGCATTACACAAACTGGGTGTTACCACTAAAGTCCTTCTCTCCTGTAAGCATTTGGCTCACCTCATGTGGTGGGGGCATATGGAGGTGGTCTGCAAATGATTAGTTTTATTTTCAGGTAGGTACAGATGAGAGTTGTTCTTTCAGATAACCTTGCCTCAAGCCTTTTAGCGCTTTGAAGGTTAAAAAACAATACTTTAAACTGGGCTCAGAAATGGACCAGGAACCATTGCAGAGGATCATAACATATTGGTACTGCTTCATTGGCCAGTCCTAGCCAGCAATCCAGTTGCCTGTTTTGAAGTATCTGAAGTTTCAGGACAGACTTCAAAGGCAGAACCACATATAGCACATTGGAATAATATAAACAGTGTGAAAAATTATTGCAAGGTTATCTCTGTCTAAGTGAGGTGGTTGTTGGCATTTCACTGTGTCCACACATACCTCCAGTGGATCTAAAATCCCCAAACTGAAAACTTGCTCCTTGCAACCCTCCTCAGAACAGGTTTAATGCTGTGGAAGGCTTAATGGACCAGTTAAGCATCTTCCTCTTAACTGGACTGGGTCTTTTTATGAGTCTTTGTTATTCTTTCTCCTACGTTTACATCCTGCCTTTTTTCTGCAAGCAACTCAAAACAACTTCCTCTCACTTTTGCCCTCATCAGCTCCTGTGTGAGGCAGGTTAGGCTGAGGGTCCATGACTGGCCCAGAGTTACCCAGTGAGCTTCAAGGTAGGCTGAGGACAAGGACCGGGATCTCCCAAAGCCCAGTGCAATACCTAACCACCGTGCCACACCAGCTCCTCCAGTCCATATTTCCCCCAAGCATTGATTCTCAACACCCAGTGCTACTCCTGTATTAGATCAAATGGGCAGATAGAACTCAGTTCATCTATATATTGGTGACACTCCAGCCCATATCCCTAGATAATCCCTTCCAGCCATAACTTGCAATGCAGAAAGCATGGGGCGGGGGGAACAGAGCCTTAACTCAGTTACAATTGGGCAGGACAAGAGTCCCCTGGTAACATCTTCTGAAATCAACCATCCAAGTTGGAACAAAGCCACTGCAATCATTCTAGGATGTGGCACGAATCCCTTGCTGTGCACATATTACACTGGTGTCGACACAACTGCAGTGGCTGCCTATTAGCTACTAAGCCTGCAACAAGGTCTTACTGTTGCCAGATAAGGCATTACACAGCTTGGAATGACATTCCTTGAAGTTCACCTTCCCCAGTACAGACCTGCGTGATCAGTAAGATCAGAAAAGACCTTGCTGGTTGTACCATAACTTGCAGATTGCTGTCAGACAGCAGCTGGGAAGTGGGCAACCTCCATGGTGATGCTTACCTGTGCAACGCCGTCTCCAATGATGCTTAGGTGGTGCCAACTACAGCATGGCTTAGGCATCACTTAAATACCTGCTTTTTAGCCTGGGCCTTTCCACTGTGACTGGGCTGCCCAGTTTGCTTGCAATTACAGAAATGGTTTGTTTTAATAGATTGTATAGAAATAGGTTTTATAGAAATATTGTAGCAATGATATATTTAATTATATTTCAAACTATATGAAAACACATTTAAAACAAAAAGTAAAGGATGCACCATGTCAAATATATCAACCCACAGTTGATCCCACAAAGAGATGCCTGCCACAATCAACCTACCTTTCAGAGTCAATCCAACCAGCATTGCCACAAAGTGGACTGGAAGCAGGATGCCAGTCATGATGAAGTGATGTAAAAGACAGAGGCTATTACTTCCTGAAGGGCATAACTGGCATGGGATGCCAAGCCACTGACTGAATAATTTGATAAAGCCCGGGCACAGGTTGAAGACAAGCAACGGAATCAAGCAGCGTAATGAAACAGAAGAGAGGGGAAGAGAGGCATCTCATTTCCGAATTACAACACCATACGGTTGTTCACTGTGAATGGCATCGTGGTAAAAGGCAGGGGGAGGAGAAAAGCATCTCCAGATGATCACGTGGCTTCCTGCATTTACCCACAGAGTATGGTAAGGAAATTAAATTTTTGACAAGTGGCCTCAGCGATTAGGAGTGTGTCTCAATGAGAGTAAAATAGAGAGTGTGCACATTCTTGGGACTTTGGCATTTGCTCACCAGGAATGGGCCTGTCTAATTTACTGTTTTACTTAATTGCTTCACCTTTCTATTAGGAAATGGCTTTGAAAGTGGCTACTAACCATAAAAGCCTACTTTAAAAAATATATAGAAATAATAATAAAACCAATACATTAAACACAATTTTTTAAAAATCACCAAAAAATAATGAAAGTGGGAAAAGAACTGTTTCTTCGCTCCTAGCAGAGCAGAGGAAGTGCCAGCAAGCTGGTCTGGAAGTGACAGCGAACAAGCTCCTGGAGAACAAGTAATCAGACTGAGTGAACAGAGTGAGCTAATGGGAGTTCGGCAGGGGAGGTCCCTAGATTTCTTCACTTTTAAAACTTTTGGTAACACATGTATACTAGTAGGACTCTGTCATTAACCCTCAGGCAAGTCAGGAGAGAACACTGACCATTCCAACAAAATCAGAAAGGTACAATCAAAAAGAGACTTTGGATGGAAAGACTCCCTGCATGCTTTGTGCAATGTTTGGTTTTTTGTCCAGGATCAGTGTGGCCTACACATGTTGCCCTGTTGGAAAGCAAATGAGAGTACTGGAGCGGCAAATGTCCACCCTCAAGGGAATGAGAGACAACAGCGTTCTTAGAGCTGAAAAAGCAAAGTGAAGAGAAACAGCAAGCCAAGGCAGAAGAGGAAAATCCTGATGCAAGGGAAAATGAAGAAGAGACAGGAGCAGAACAAGTAGAAGTTACTGCTCCAGTGGAAGCAGTGTGACTATGGCATTGCCTTCAGTACTTGAGGAGAAGGCTGGAGGGCAGAGATCGGAGGGCAGCCTACAGAGGAGGAATTGCAGGGTGCCCTGCAAGATGCCAAAGGTCAATCGAGCAGAGGTGATGACATCGAGGCCTCTAAGAGGGGAATGTCGTGAGCAGTTCTCTCCCACCTCCTTTCCCTTTCTGGCAGTGTCAGTTGAACCTTGAGAAGCACAGTCCCTTTATTAAAACTTAACAGATTGCAGAGGAGTAATAAAGTAGATTTCTCCTTGAGATGGAGGAGTAGCATCTGCCCATGTAAAGAGCTGAATTCAAACTGAAACTTTCCCTCCTTCCCTTCCTTTCAGCAAAGCTTCTGATACCACCTTCAGGGTAGCTCCTGCTGCTTGAGAGCTTGACAGCGGGAACGCTAGGCACTGTTTGGTCCTTCAGGCAGTGACTACATCTGGTGGCTGTCAAAAGGCAAATGATCAAATGTAACCAACGGCATGTGCAATCTTAGCTTGTGAAAAGGGGTGGCAGCTTGTTCACACCCTTCATGGCAAGATCCTTATGCTTCTTGCGTGGTGGACCCATGTGTCCTAGGACTGGCTTCATATTTCCACTTGTGCCCAGGATTCTACCATTCGGGAACATGCACAAATGCAAGCTGCTCATTTATTGGATTGGTTTGCTTCAGCAACTGTCAAAGGTAAGGCTCCACTTTTCAAAAGGAAATAGGAAAGAGTTAAACTGTTTTCCCCGTTTTTGGAGGGAAAGTATAAAAGCTCTGCAGACAACGAGCTTCACCCATTGCCTACCCAGGCTCCCTATTCCCACCACCTCAATCATCTGCAGTTGCACAAGGGTGAGATTTTTAATAAAAAAACTTGAGGGGCGTGGGGCGGGTTAAAAAGTTTCTGGCAAGTATGGAAAGCTCCTCCAAGAGGCCACCAAGGCACTTTGAAGGAACTATACATAGCTGTGAAGACAGGGATTGTGAAATCCGGTTTGCCATTTTCCCAATATCCAGAAAAAGGAAGTTTTTAAAAGTTCTTTTAAAAAGAAAACAGACTCCCTTAAAAAGCTATTAAGGTATTCTTGAAAGGAGCCCTTTAAGATGTATTATTCTTTAACTGAACACTGCTTAATATACCCTCCCTCAAACATTAACAAAACAGGATAAACTGGGAAGGGTTTACAAATAGGTTGTGTGTGTGTGTGTGTGTGTGTGAGAGAGAGAGAGAGAGAGAGCGAGCGAGCTCACAAAGATGAGGTGTTTAGGGGATGAGTATAAAGGGTTGTAAAGAGCTATTATGAAGAGATGTAAATAGCTGGTGCTCAAGGAGAAAGAGAAAGGTGATGGCATCAAGGCTGTGCATTCAAGCCTTGCACTGGCACTGACATTGCCTACCACCCTCTGTCATTTTAGCTGTCCAAGGTGTCTCTGGAGTGCAGAAATACAATGAGCATTTTTCACAGCAGCCTCTGGGTAAGTAGAGGAGCTGCCCCGAGGCTTTGTTGCGATGGGGGCAGCAGAGAAATGTTTTAAATAAATAAAATAAGTAGGGGTCTGCTAGAGGGCACTTCAGTTAAAGCCTATGGAGCTGGACACTGTCCTGGCTTGGCACGCTGGTCGACCGTCTTTTCTTTCCCCTTGCCAGCTCCATACTGATCTTTCCTTGTTCACAGGGACGCCTTTTGAATCTCCCTTACATGACTCTTCTAACTGTATCTAAGTAATGCTCTTGTATGCTCCATGGGCAAGCAACTGTTGTTCTCTAGGTGCATGTGGGTTAAAATTCAGCCACATTCTATAAGTTTGGAAAGAGCAGGAGTGAAGGCCAGCCAACAACAATGAATACTGACCCTAATAACTTTCCAAACAATGCAGTTTGGTGACAGTTCAACTTCAAGAGACTGCACTTCACAAAACAGGTGGAAAATAGAGGAGGGAAATGAAAGTGGGGCAGCCAATTGGAGGCCCAGATGCCTTGATAACACGTTCGAAGCTGGCTTCCTGTTTCACCACGACAGGAAGTGGGTGTATGTCAGCAGCAACAAGGTGCAGACATCTCTGGAGCTTCTCTGCAATACAACTAGAGCCCAATCATGGTAAGAAACGAAAGACTAGCCGCCTTTCCATGCAGTGCCCCTTACTCAGAAGGGAGTGGGTAGGTGGGTATCCTTCAGGATCAGAAAGATCAGGTTGCACAACTTACAGCCCTCTGAGGCGTTACATGAGGCCCTCACAGAGCTCCTGCCCCCCCTCCCCGTGCTGCCTCATTCTTTCCTGTCAATTTCATGGGGACTGTGACTTTCCTGCCACTGCTAAGAGTAGGGAATGTGTATCAAGAGCACTGGGGGAGGGGAGGCCCACCAATCTCCCCCCAAAGAGGAAGGAGGATTAGTGGTGAATGCACATTTTTGGGTACCCAAATGCCACCTCCAATTGCCCCCTTCCCCACCAGCACTACCTATGCTGCTCCCCTATATGGCCCTCCGGGCTGGAAATACTGTGCACTTGCGAAATCGACAGAGAGGTGCCTCCTGATGTCATCCTTCTCTGTGTCCCAGGATAAGGACTATGTCGGCTTTGCCACCTTGCCCAGCCAAGTCCACAGGAAATCTGTGAAGAAGGGCTTTGATTTCACACTGCTGGTAGCAGGTAAGCCATAAAAACAGCTTCCTCCATCCTGGAAAATTCCATTGCCTCTTCACCCCAAAGGACCTTCCTGTTTGCCCGAGAGAGATGAAATCCAGGTTCCTTTTTTGCTGCCTCACTTTCTACCCTGTTACAGGCATGCTGTTCCATTGTACAAAATGTAGATAGTCCTAAGGCTTGGTGGTGAACAGTGAGTGAGTGATTAGAAGGCAATTTGGTCGCCTTTTATATAATGTCAAAATACGATGTAACTACAAACAGTAATGTCTTTCCCCCATTTTTATGCTAGAGTAGATACAGGGCCCTTGATCCAGATCAGATTCCTAGACTGTGGGTGGGAGGCTTTTAAGATCCAGATTTGGGGGCCCTGCATCACTTCTAAGTAAAAAAATAAAAGATATCTGCTGTACCCTTATTTAAGCCTGTTTTATCCTCTCCGCTGAGCAACATACACAAAGACACTTTGATGGAGAGGCAGGACCTGTCCTACTTTGGCTGAAGCAGGCTCAAAATGATTAGCCAATGCAACAAGCAAAACCACAGAACAGCCAGTGGTCAAGCACCCATATTTCAGACCAGTAAGGAAGCAAGTAGGCAGGAAGGTGTGCTCAAAAGTTCAAGCAAAGGTTAAAGCACAGTTAAGTGGCCAGATGCATGGCAGCATCCAGGAGCTGAGTCAAGCAAGAATCCAGGGGTCAGTAGCACAGAGCATCTTTGCCATGGCAAGGTCCAAAAGGCACTCAAGCTGAAGAGCAGCATCTGGCTAGAGCAACACTCCAGGCTTTTATTGTTAGAGCCCACTAAGCTAAGCCTTGCCCTCTCGACATGTTGAGCTACAACTCCCATCATTCCTAGCCAATGAGGACCTCTAGAGGGCATTAAGCTAGCGGTAGCTACTCCAAGATATATTTCCTTTTTAAAAAGTAGGGAACCCCAATACCCAGAAAATTTATACTGTTAAATTATATTGTTTTATATGATGTTATTTATGTTTGTGAGCCGCCCCCAGGCTTCAGTGAATGGGGCGGCATAAAAGTTCCATCCATCCATCCATCCATCCATCAATAAATAAATAAATAAAATGATACCCAAGGACCAGATCAGACATTCCCTAAATAAATAAATAAATAAAATGATACCCAAGGACCAGATCTAGCCCTCTGGGGCCCCTTCCCCATATCCCTATCTCCCTTTGTTTCCAAGGTACCAATAATTTGCCTATTTCCCAGAGTCTCTGCAGTGTTCCCCCCATTCCAAAAGGTCCAAATGCTTCTCCTGAGATTTAGTTATAGGTAGGTACAATATGCATTTTGAGTATTTTGTCCGCCTTTGATTCCACCCATCACAGGAATGTGGCCCTGAGAGCTTCTCCAAAATTGAACTTGGCCCTTGGGCTGAAAGAGGTTCTCCATCCCAATGGTAAACTGTACCCCATTCCTTCTTATACCTTTCCACTCATTCATTGAACAGGAGAATCTGGACTGGGGAAATCTACTCTTGTCAATAGCCTGTTCTTGACGGACTTGTACAAAGACCGGGAGCTTCCAGATGCTCAAGGTAAGGTGGATGACTGTTGCCATGGTCCACAGGGGTGGCATGGGGTTTCCATGGGGAAACTGTTAATGCTGACTCTTTTCCTGGCTTTTTCACTCAACAGCCAGGATCCCACAAACTATGGAAATTATCAAACATGCAATCGATATTGAAGAACGGGGGGTGAAAGTGAAACTGACAGTGATTGATACTCCAGGATTTGGGGACGCAGTGGACAACACTGAGTGGTAAGAGCATGTATAGGTTTGGGCCATCGCTCAGCAAAATGGCAACTCAGGAAGATGCAGGATCAATTTGTTCAGCAGCCCTTCCAGAGAGCATAATGCACAAGGTCTCGGGTTCAATCCTCAGCTTCTCCAGAGAGGTTCAGACACAATCTTGTTTGAAAATCGGGAGAGCTGCTGCCAGTCAGTGTCTGTGATACTGGGCTGGAGAGACCCCTGGCCTGTATGAAGTCAGTTCAGTAGAAGCAGAGATGCATATAAGAAATTGCAGATGGGGCTGTCACCCTTAATATTTGCAATGGTCATCAAACCATTAGCTTCTAGCATTAGGAATAAGGATAATATTAAGGGAATAACAATTAGGAATAAGCAATGTAAACTCAACCTTTATGCAGATGATATGCTTTTGCTTTTGAAGGACCCAGAAAAAGCATAGAGCCTTTTAAAACAATCATTAGAAAATTTTAATTGTCATACGGGATTAAAAATTAATTAACAAGTCTAAA